TCCAATACGACCAAAAAAGTATTTTTTTTGTGCATAGGACGAATATGATACTTCCGTAATGATAAGAGTCTAACTCAATATTTTCAGAAAGAATTTCAAAAGAACAACATTGCCATATCAGGTCAACGGACAACCCACAATGCCATACATGGGTTCTTCTCAATCCACTGAAAAATAGTTTGTAACTGACTCAGGCCACCGAGAAAAGGCAGTGTATGCGCTGGCGCCTGTAACGTGGCTGATTTATTGAGCTGTACTGAGAGTGCGCAGGCTCGACACATTCCTGCAGCTGCACCGCCACCTTCTCCAGGCACTGGAAAACCTGATGTCACATTTTTGCTTCGGGAACGAGCCACTCCTTGTGGTTCCTTGATTTGAATTAGCCAGCAGGCTAGTGAACACGAGTAACGACATGTAAATGAACCGCGACTTGAAATTCAAGGTTGTAGCATCTAATAGCAGCACCAGTAGCACATGTTGTATTGGATAATTTTAACATGTATACATATTCCATAGCATTAACTAAAGTGATACATTTATGTATGTGGGTTCAAATGAACATAAAATTAACAAAATAGCCTTTTTTGTGTGGGAAGCTATTTGTCTCGGTTGTTATTTTGTCGTTACGTGTAGACATTACGGTTGACAAAGAAAAACAAACTACGCAGTTCGAATTCTCAATACATATAGCAGCGACGCCAATGCCCTCGTGTTAAAATTGTGCTTCGTGTATCTAAAAGAATTTAATAATAGGAAATACAGCGCTTTTTAAACAAACTATTAGCGTTTAACACAAACGGCCATTTTGTCTAAATCCGGGCTAAGCAAGTACATGTCCGAATTATTGTAAATAACAAGGTTTAGCGACTCACCTCGGTAAAGGGATCCATTTTTGGCGGTTTATCCGCACGGCAAGAAAAGGTTGAATACCTGACTATTCCAACAGTGCTGCTCTCTACTTTGTGTACACTGACAATACAAGTCGATTCAAACACAGCGATATTCTACTTAACTGTAGCCCCTCCGTCGTACTTCTACTTCTGCACAAACCATCTGTTCAAAATTTGAATTTCAGCGCTGTACCCAGTGCGCATGCTCTAACCGTTGAACAAGAGGAGGACCAATAAGAATATCAAACTTTAACGTTCGTCAGCCAATCACATCCTCGGAAAAGAAACGACAACACAGAAACTCCTTTTATTGCCAGTCATGTCTGGATCAAATATTTGTAGCACATAAGTCATTCATTGCGGTGTTGTACACACATAACCATAACATAAATATGTATTTTATTTAATGTAGCATACATATAACATACATGTTGAAGTGGAGCCCGTTTTACCGACATGCACGTTTTTGCTTGAGTGGCAACGTAAATACATACATAAACTGGTTCGTACTAGTTTCTGCGTAAACAACATACTTCATTGTCTGTAGCTGAAACCGTGGACACAGAAGCTTGAATTTAAAAAAAATGTCAAATGTGCCCTATTACTGCAATGTGATATTTCCAAAACACTTTATCACAAACACTGCTCCCATTTATTACAGCAGCAAGCAAGCAAGTGAAGCACTGTACTACAGTACACTGTTGTAGCCTATCATGTAGCTGTGATCGTTTGTTACTTCTTTTCTCTTGCATGTTTTGCCTTCTATGACTATTTTTGGGAAATAAAATGGAAGAAAAATATAACGGTCAAACACATGAAAGAAGCTATGTCACTGTGCTTACAAAAGCACTTTGGAATCTGAAATAAAACTGCTAGTTTTAGAACATACCTGGATGCAGAATGACATAATAATGTTTGCCTTTGATCTTAAGTTGAGTTGCCATGGTAAGGCAGATGGTCTCCATTTATTTTAAAGGGGTAATTATGACATTAGCATCAAATGCAAAACTGGAGAAATGAAACGCTCGCCATTTCACGGCACATCCCTTCGCCTTCTGACAATATAAGTAACCCTAACGTGACAAACACTATGAAAGTGACATGGTAATTTATGAGCATCAAGCAACGCCTAGAAATGAAAACATTCATATACAGGTCCTATGGTGGGCCTATGTTATGTCTGCGCTATGAATACCAAAGTATGCTTTGGCATAAAACTGCAGTACATTGACATAGACTCTGAATTTAAGCAGCAAGCTGTAAACAGTCAAGGGGTTTATTGGCCCCATTGCAAACGATGTTTCTGTCATCGTTCATAAAACACCATTACATTTTGGCCTTTGTAATTCAGTTCAAGAAAATAAGATGTTTATGCATGGCAGGAATGAGTGGACATTGTGTATATTTGACTTAACATCAGTCAATTCGTTTACACTACATCGTATTTTTCACGCCGGTCGATCATAAATCACTACCTATGAGTTTAACTTCAGTAAAATGTTGGTCTCCTTTATGGCTGTAAATCTCATGCAGCACCCACACGTATTAACATCACCATTTGTGCTTTACTGTCTATTTATCTCTAAACATGACCAATATATAACACATTTTTTATGTATGTATTTTTGTATATAACACATTAATTGTTCTTTGTTTATTCTCTTGCTTGCCTGATTATAAGAAGGCTATGTTCCCCTTTTTTCGTATTTTGTTGCTTATGTAGTTTTTTCACTTCACGTTAAAAGTAGTGTGGCAGTGCTGTTCTGAAAAAAATGTATTTCTTCCTATTAAATCGGTGTTTTTTTTTTATCTATTACAAGTAATAGTTTCAAATATAATTACTTAAATGAGCGTAATTGGTATCCGGTTTACCGGTAGTTGATATGTAATCCATGACTACATTCCCCATGAGCACCCGCGAATGTTGCGTCGCTGATTAGGAAACCATGACAACAGAGCAGTTAGAACCGCGAACACGGGTCGAGACACTTCCGCAACACCAGCGTCCATTCGTCTGTGTCCGCCTGTGGAGATTAAATGTTATTATTATTTTAGCTATTCGTTTTACGTTGACGCGGAAGACAATTTGCTTAGTTATTCGGATAATTTTTGCTGCTTTTATTTTGCCACGCTAGATAAGGGTAGTGTTTTTGTCATCTTTGTTATGGTTTTGTCTGACTTACCGGATGACGCTGGAGTCCACAGGTAGTGACAGGTAGTGTTACATTATTTTTGTCCTTCTTACGGTAGTTGGTCTCTTCATTAGCATCATTTCTCTTGTGTTATAAGGGTATTGACCCGATAATTAGAGATGCAACCATCCAACTTTTTCAGTACCGATATTAGTCCGATATCATTGTTGAATCAATAGACTTTATACCTCACCGTCTTGCGGCGACTGAAATATAACCAATAGAACCAATATAAGAATTCACAGTTTTATTATTTGTATATATACTGAATATTTTATTAATTCATTACATTACT